GTAAATACCTCATAGTATTGCCTTAGCAAATCTGATTTCTGCTACTCAATTGTGCAATTCCCAAGGAGTTTTTGAGCATACGTTTCTTTTTTTTGTTTTTTAATAGTTAGGATCTGGGTAATAGGGAATTCTTACCCTGTTATAGGGAAACATTAACCCTTTGTCTGGTTCACAAAAACTCTTCCCTTAAAGGCAGCCAGCAAAGCTGGGGTTAATAACAGCCCCATGGTAAGGCCAGGATAATAGGTCATCTGACCAGAAGGGGTGGGGCTTGGGAGCTATATAAGCCCAGAGCCTGAGCCGAGAGAGCAGTCTGCCTGGGAGGATGAAGGGTGAAGAGCTCTGCAGCCGGAGGGCTGTAGTAGACCTACCACTAGGGATACTGCATCCATGGGGGACCACAGGCAAGGAGGAGAAAGGGAGCCAGGATGTAGGATAGAGTTTGGTATAGCCAGTGAGCGTAGGGTTTTGTTACAGCCAGAAGGCTTATATTTCGTTTTGTGGTTTAATCCAGTGGACCAAATAAGAATAAAAAAGGGAGATGTGGAAGTCCCATTGGTGCCAGAGGGGCCTGTGGTTGCTTTGAGCTCTGCCAGGGGCAGGCTCAAGGTACTGACAGGATTAGAGGTCCTGGGGTGCCAGGGAGGCACAAGGCTTGGTCCTGCCAGGGTAGGATGCAAGGTGTTGTAGCCCAGGAAGACAAGACAAGGGCCAGCAACCCAAGAGGGGCAGAAACAAGGGTCGGGGACTCAGTGCCTGAAGGGGTGAGATTGGGTCTGGGGCATGCAAGCCAGGTTCACCGTAGTGGACCTAGGCTGTGAGGCACCCAGATAGATAAGAGGGGGTGAAGCTGGAAAGCAGACACCCCAACAAGTGTGTGTTGGCCTTGAAGTGGCCTAATGAGGTGATAATGAGTAACACCTGCAAGGCATGGGTGTGGCTAAAGGGGCAGAAGGAGGCCATGGATTTAGCCTTTGTGGCAAGAGACCTTACGGTCTGGATGAGCCCAGAAGGTTTGCTTAGCTCTCAAGAGGTATGACTGGGAACCATGGGGTCCAAGAGAGCTGAACTATTGGAAAGAAGGGCAAAGGCATAACCTGGGACTCAGGGGCAGCCTCCTTTTTCATACTGTTGCAGCGCACTAGGGTGCCCTGCTCCTTTAAAGAGCTGAAACTACTAGGGGAAGAGCCCTAGCAGTGAGGTGGAAGCCCACTAGGGGAAGAGCCCTAGCAGTGAGGTGGACCCCCGCCCTGCCGTTTCCCGGGGCAGCCAGAACAAGCTAGTGGCCCACACCTGTCAGCAGTCAGCTGACCAGAAGCGGCAGGGCCTGGCTCATATATAGACCCCAGCAGCCACGGGGGGAAGGAGCTCTCCCAGAGCAAGCGAAGGGGAGAGGCCGGACTGCATGAGCAGCTCCTGATACTGCTGTGGGACAGAGTATTCCCCGGTAGGGTTTAAATGATGTTATAGCTGGGCGGCTTGAATTTATGTTACAGCCCAGGGGCTTGTGTTTCATTTATTGTTGTATAAGACCGGTGGTTTGGGTGAGGCTATTAGGGGAAGGAGGAGGCCTCATAGGGGACCCACAGCAGCGTAGGGGACCCCAGCGCCAGAGAGGGCGCAGCACTTGGGGTGCACTGACCCCGAGTACCAGTGAGGCGCAGAGCCAGACTGGGCTGCGGAGGGCCCAGGGAGGACAAGGGGGCCAAATTACAAGGCCCAGACCAAATAATGTCGGTACCATCTGCGAGGCTTGGGGTGTAGTAAAGGGGTGGTTGGAGCCACACAGAGCCCATAAGGCTAGGGGGCCCCGAAACACCCATTGTGACATCTGTCTTGGAGCGGGATCCACCAGGGGTCCAGAAACCCACAGGGTCCAGAGAGCCAATCAAGACCATGTCCAAGAGGACTGAAAGGCAGCCTCCCTATCATTCATACCATCAAAGATGTGGCAGGTGAGAATAGAGGGTGCCCATTGAGCCAACTTGGCAAGGTAGGGGGGCCTTGGGGAGACCAAGGCCATCCTGCAGGACCCCATCCCATGACACATACATTAGTTGATGACATCAAGGCATAGCAGGCAAGAGAAAAGGAAGGGTACCCAGGGAGCCTGAGTAGGTCAGGAGTCGCATGGCTGCCAGGGGGTGACACAGCCACCTCTGGGAGCGCAATCCTGTTACAATCTACCTAAGCACAGAGTTGATGGATTAAAGTCTCATAAAGTTGCACCAAAATAAGGTTGTTACTTAGTACTGTGTATTATATGGCCCTTTTTGTTCAACGGTATTTGTTAAAGGGGAAAGTAACCAGTCTGCCTGCACTGTCCTGAATAATCTATTTCTGCAGAAGCTGTCTTGGGAGTGGACAGCTGCTCTTTCGGTCAGAGTTGCTGCAGAGGCCAGTTTGCAGGCACCATTCAAACAGCAGTTATATTACCAGCCTGTCAGTATTCTTCCTGGCCTTTCAGCACTCCTGGGAAGTGATGCTTGCAAATTTTTCATGCAGCACAAATTCTAGCTGGTTGTTTGGGTTATTTGCTAAGGCAAAATCTTCCTCGACTAACTTGGTAATGGACTAGACCCCTCTATCCATTTGTATGTCACAGGTATCAGACCTCTAAAAATCACCTGCATGTATTTTGATAGGACAGCCCCACCAGCCTGAAATATCCTCTCTTTTTTCCACTCTGGGATCTCTGAAATATTTATGTCCTCAGTTGAAAGCCAGTTACAGAGCCCTGGCAAGTTAAAGAAGCTGTTTAAACAAACACCCTCCCCTCCTTGCTGTATCAGCAACAGGCTACCCATCGGTAGTAATACATAAATATACAAACATATAAACCAACTTACTATGATGTGATTTGTGATGTGCTGTTACTTTTATAAATGTTCACTTGCTACCCTTGGACAGCTAGTC